GTGTTAATTGGAATGTTCCATTCTTGTTTACTTGCATAGATATTCTACATTTTTCTTGATTTCATGCCTTGTCCTTGTCGTGTTAATTGAATTGTTTCAATCTTGTTAATTTTGTTAGTCATCTTGTTCTGTGTTACTTTATGCTATCGTGACTTAGGAATGATCCTATACATGTAACTTGACTTAGATTCTAAGTGGCATGGTCCATATGTAATGATTTATATCAACATACAAAATCTTTAAACCCTTAGATTTCAAGTGATATCTCTTGAAGATATAAGGACCCTGTCGTGTTATATGGAGTATTTCCTACCTTGTTTAATTGCATAGACATTATGCTTACTTCGTGTATTTAGACCTCATTCAGCATACTTGAAACCGTACATTTGCTTCTTGTATCTAGATTCCATTTAGTATACTCGTGTCTTGCATATTTGCCTTGTGTGTTTCCAATCTCACTAGTGTACCTATGTTTTCTATACTTACCTCGCATGTTTTCATCTTCATTTATTACACTTGTAACCCTTATGCTTATATGTCGTGTATCTTGTTTCAATCGCATGAGTAGTTTAGGATGCTCCTCGAGTCTAACATTTGACATAGACGTTAAGTGGCATGTCCCTTTACAATTGTTTCAAGTTAATGTAAAAATCTCTGAAGAAATCGAGTTTATGCATGCTCATTCTCTACGAGTATACTTGTTTACTCACCCCGAAGTTACTAGGGGATTTGTTCTGGTACGAAGACTTGGTTCGTGATGCTTGTCATTCATCGGGTTGGCTTCTAGCTTTTTAGTTTCTATTTCATGCAAATGTTAGTATGAAATATCATTTCGTAGACTTATGTATCAAAACTTGTATTCTTTGATTCCGTACATGTAAATTATGCATAAGTACACTCTTTTCAATGTATTTGACATGTATAAGATAAGGCCGGAGGCTAATGACATATATCTTGCATTCTATGCACTTTTGTTTTCAAGGCTTATCATGAAAATATTGAAAAATCACAAGTCATTCGTTCATAACTTTTGCATCGGGTGTGGGAATTCCATTCTTTTTCTTTCATAGGGTTCCTATGATCATGTATGAGGTGTGGTCAAGGGCCAAACACCATTTCACTCTTAGTTTTGCATTTTGGTTCTAGTTAAAGCGTTTTTAGGCATTTTTGGCTGTTGAGAGGTCATATTTTGCATTTTGGATATTTCGAAGCTGCGGACCATTGGGACGTGTCTTAAATGTCTTTATTACATTCGCGTGCATGTCCACATTGCACAAAACTCTCAAGTTTCAACTTTTGACTTATTTTTGGGCGATTTTATGAATTTTTATGAAAATTCATGCATGGGGTGTCGTTTGAAGTTCCTCCTTGTTTTGGCTTGTTTTGGATGCTTGAACGGGGCTAGAAAGTGTTTTCAAACTTGTTCGGAACATGTAGAATGCATGTAGAACCTTAGAGTTGGCCCAAGCATCATTTTCATATATTGCAACAGCTTTTCATAGCAGCAGCAAATGTGTCGGTCGGTTGATGAGGATCCATCAGCCGGCTGACAAGCCTTGAGGGTCCATTCTAGTAAGCTTTTCTTGAAAAATGTTGTTTCGGTCGGCTGAACATTAGGGTTCGGTCGGCTGATGTTTGAGGTTCGGTCAACTAACCCTTGCCTTCGGTCGACCGATCCTCCTTGGGACCTTCTCCTTCCAGTTTTCTTGGACAGTTTCCGTGCACCGACTTTAGAGGGACTTATCTCCTTCATTTCTGATTCAAACCTGGTCATTCTTAATTCTAAGTCCAAGAGCTCAAAGTTACGTTTCCAATGGTACCAACCACACACCAAAACTCCATCTATAGTGTAAGCTATTCCAGTTTCAGTGAGATAGGTTCATGGTAATCCTTAAATGAAGAAGGCTACTTTGTTTTAAATTCATAACTTTTCCATCTGGACTCCGAATCAGGCGATTCCTGAGTCTAACCTTGTTCATTTTTTGTTGTCTTTCAAATGGTGTGCACGGTGGCACCCATTTCAGTGTGAAATAACCATTTTACCCTTAGTTTACTTCTTTTCGTGTTTGGCATTCTTGCTTCATTTCTTGGTTCATTTGTGTTCCATGACCTCATGGAAGGTCATCAACGTGTCTTAGAGGTGTGGTGCCTTGGAAGACCGTTGTCTGGTTTTTTTTGCTTCTGCATCTTGGATCCAGTTCGGGTCGTCACAGAACACACTGGGTTGAAAAATCTAGGGTCGTTACAAAAATCATTTATCAAAGCATTTTCCCAAAAAAAATCATTCTTTTTCCTTTCTTTCCAAAACATCTTTCCCATTTTCTTTCTTAATGCCAAGCGTGAATGTCCATACGTTACAATGCCGTGAAATGAGGAAAAAATCATGCCTTTCGATGCCATGTCAAATATACATTCTCAGGTATCATATTCAAACCTTAATCACATAGCATGCTTAACAAAAAAAAAAAATTCTAATAAAAATCATATCATGCTTTCTAATAACAAGTATTCGGCACATTAGGCATATAACATATGGAATAAATTACTTAAACATGCTTCTTCACATCATATCAACAAAATCCAACACACACATATTACTTACAACATTGAAAATTTATATTTCATAAAATTGTCACAAATTAAACATGCTATTCAACAAGAATTGAGATGAAATTCGCAAAAAAACAAAGAATTTATGCCTTAGAAATCACCTACCTCAAATGAGAGAAAAAGCCCTAATTTGAGCCCTAAATTCAAAATCCCTAGGCTTGGCCAAACAGTGCTTGGCTCTTATCAAATTGACGGCCTCGATGAGCTCTCCGACTTTGCTTCACAAGGTTCTACCAAATTCACAAAGATGAGAGTGAGATCAAAGTTTGAAGCTTTGTAGAAAAGAAAAAGAAAAAAAGAAAAGGAAAGGAAAAGTGAGTTTACCGAGAGAGAGAGAACTGAGGCATGAAATGGCCTCTTAGCCACTAAAGGTTGGACTAGTGGGTCCCACCACAATTGAAATATCTAACCTTTTTTTATTTTTTTTCTCCACAATATATATATATATATATATATATATATATATATATATATCAAAATCAAAACATTACATTCTCTCCAACTTTAAAAGATTTCGTCCCTGAAATCAAGCCATACCTGAAGGAGAAAACAATTCTAGATACTTGGAGCGAACCTCCTATTTGAGCTCCTAAGTAGCCTCCTCAACTTCGTGATGCCTCCAAAGAACCTTTACCAATGGTATCGTCTTGTTCCTTAACACCTTTTGCCGTGTGTCAAGGATCTGACCCGGTCCCTCCTCGTAGGAAACATCCTCATAAATGTCAACCTCTACCCAACTCAAAATGTGAGATGGATCTGGTTTATACTTCCGTAGTATTGATACATGGAAAACATTATGGACCCTGTCCATCTGTGGTGGCAATGCTAGTCTGTAGGCAACCTCTCCTATATGGTCCAAGATCTTAAAAGGTCCAATGAATCGTGGCGACAACTTGCCACTCTTCTCGAACCTCATCAACCCCTTCCATGGAGAAACCCGAAGAAAAATGTGGTCTCCCACCTCGAAGGATAGCGGTCGTCTCCACCTTTCCGCATAACTCTTCTGTCGGCTCTGAGCGGTAAACAATCTCTGTTTGATCAGCTTAATTTTCTCGGTAGTCTCGAGTACAATGTCAGGTCCTAAGGCGGCTGTCTCGCCCACCTCAGTCCAACAGATAGGAGACCTACAAGGTCTACCATACAATGCCTCAAATGGAGCCATCTGAATACTCGCCTTATAACTGTTGTTATATGCAAACTCAATAAATGGAAGGTGATTCTCCTAACTACCTCCCAAATTAAGAACACAAGCTCGAAGCATATCCTCCAAGATCTGGATGGTACGTTCCGACTGGCCGTCCGTCTATGGATGGAATGCTGTACTAAGATGCAATGATGAACCAAACACTGCTTGAAGTCCTTCCCAGAACTTCAAAGTGAACTTGGCATCCCTATTTGAAACAATAGTCACTGGAACTCCGTGTAATCTTATAATCTCTGTCACATAAAGTACACCAAGTGCCTCTGCATCATCTGTTGCCGTAATTGGCAAGAAGTGAGCCGTCTTGGTCAATCTATCAATAATGACCCATACGGCTTTATTTCCTCTCCGTGACTTAGGAAGACCTGTCACAAAATCAATGGCAATCTGCTCCTATTTCCACTGCGCTACCAGCAATGGCTGCAATAAACTAGTTGGTCTCTGGTGCTCGGCCTTCACTTGCTGACAGGTAAGACATTTAGCCACAAACTGTGCAACGTCCTTCTTCATTCCATTCCACTAATACTGACATCTCAGATTGTGATATATTTTTGTACCACCTGGATGAACTGCAAATCAGGAAGTGTGAAACTCTCGTAAAACGTCCTCGCGATAAACTATGGGAACAACCAACAAACCCCTGAACCATAGAGCTCCATTTCCATGTAAGGTCCAATCCTTCACTGTCTCACCACCAGAAATCAGAGTGTGAATAACATCCAAATTCGGATCCTGTCTGTGTGACTCAATCACTCACCCGACAAGAGTGGGCTGAGCCACGAGACTAAACAATAATGTTGACTCACTACCAACATCATCATCAAAACAATACAATCCCATCTCTACCAAATCTTCAAGCATCTTCCATTTCCGAATGGCTAACCCGGCCAAAGTTCCACGAGATTTCTAGCTTAAAGCATTAGCTACCACATTTGCCTTGCCAGGATGATACTGTAAATCAAAGTTGTAGTCTTCTAAGAACTCAACCCATCGCCTTTGTCTGTTGTTCAAGTCCTTTTGGGAGAAAATGTACTTGAGACTTTTATGATCGAAAAACACCTCAAATCTTTCGCTATACAAGTAGTGTCTCTAATACTTTAAGGCAAACACAACTGCCACTAACTCTAAGTCATGAGTAGGGTAGTTAAGCTTGTGAGTCTTCAACTGTTAAGACCTATAAGCCACTACTCTACCATCCTGCATCAGTACACAGCCCAAACCATCATGTGAGGCATCACAATAGATCATATAACCCAAGCCACGCTCAGGTATCACTAATACTGGAGCCATATTTAACCTTATTTTCAACTCTTGAAAGGAGCTGCCAAACGGGAAAAATCCTTCACAAATCTCTGATAATAACCCGCTAGGCCAAGGAATCTACGAATCTCAAAAACATTCTTGGGTTACTCCCAATTTAGAACTGCCTCTATCTTTGAAGGATCAATTGAAACCCCACATTCCGTGACAACGTGTCCCAAAAACTTCACCTTTTGTAGCCAAAACTCACACTTCTCATATTTGGCATACAAACGGTGCTCCCGTAAAATCTGCAACACTATACTCAAATGGACCTCGTGCTCCTTCTGAGTCCGTGAATACACAAGAATGTCATGTATGAAAACTACCATAAATTAATCTAAGTAATCATGGAAGACACGGTTCATTAGATCCATGAATGCCGCTGGTGCGTTAGTCAGACCAAAGGGTATAACAAGAAACTCATAATGTCCATACCGCATACGGAAAGCGGTATTTGAAATATCCTCTTCTCTAACCCGTAACTGATAGTAGCCTGACCTCAAGTCAATCTTCGAAAAATAACTGGCTCCCCTTAACTAATCAAACAAATCATCTATCTTTGGCAACGTATATTTGTTCTTGATGGTGGCATGATTCAACTTCCGGTAATCAATGCACAACCTCAAAGAACCATCCTTCTTTTTAGCGAACAAGACCGGTGTGCCCCACGGTGACACACTCGGTCGGATGAAGCCTTTCACTCTCAAATTATCAAGTTGCTTCTTCAATTTTTTTAATTCAATCGGTGCCATAAGATATGGTGCCATAGAGATTGGCGCAGTACTAGGCATTAAATCAATAGCAAACTCCACCTCTTGGTGTGGAGGCAACTCAGTCATGTCCTCCGGAAACACATCCAAAAAATCATACACAACCACTGGATAATTAACCCCACAAAACTCAGCATCATCATCAGCGAAAAGGCTAGCCAAGGAAAACCCTTGTCGATCCCAACCTCTAACACCATAAAACGCAGGAATGAGAGAATCACACCGATCTCCCACAAAGCAGAAACAATCCCCATCCGGGGTATACACTGAAACTCTGCCCCTAAAGCAATCAATAACAGCTCTGAAAGATGACAACCAGTCCATCCCAAGAATGACGTCAAATCCTGCCATCTCGAGAAGGATGAGATCGATCTCCAGTATCCGTCCGGCAATGGTAATGAAACAACCCCGACAAACTCTACCAAGAGTGACTGATCCCCCAATAGGCGTGTCAACACAAAACAGTATGTTTAACTGACTGACCTCCAATCCCAATACCCGTGCAAATGATGAAGCAATGAATGAATAAGAAGCACCAGAATCAAACAATACATGAGCCTAAGAATGGGACACAAGAAACATACCTCTGACGACAGAAGGACTGGATGATGGCTCGGCTGGAGTGAGTGCAAACACATGACCCTAAGTCCTCTACCCTTGAGAACCATTTGTCTAATAACCCGACTGCTGAGTGGGTGCACTCGAAGAAGCCCCTTTGCTCGGTTGAGAACTCTGCATTGCCATATCTGGTTGAGATGGCTAAGGTGGTGGTGGCGGTCGAAGCCCTGACTGAACTGTGGCAGATTGCATTTACCTTTGCTATGAACCTCCACCCCTGCCTGAACTGCTGCCTTGCTGTGGACAATCCCTTACCCTATGGCCTTGCTGGCCACACCCAAAACATCTACCTGACGCTGCTTGAATCTGAGTGCACTGGTTCTTGTGGTGCCCTAACTGCCCACATCTGAAGTAAGTCACCTGAGTCTGAATGCATTAGGACTTAAAATGTCCCGGCTGCCCGTATCTGAAACAAGTAACATTCGATCTAGAAGACCCAATAGACACTGAAGCTGTGGGTACGGATTTAGCTGACTGCTGTCCCCTGCCTGACTGTTCATTCTTTTGCTTCTTACTTGATTGACCCTCGGAGATAGTACCCATACTCCTGTTGTGCTTATAGGACTCCCTGATTGCCTTACTGTCCCTGCTTTCGGCCTCAACTACTAAGGCCTTTTGCACTGCTTTTGTATACTCTATCGGTTCTGAAGTAGCTACAATTGGCCTGATGGTAAGATCAAGGCCATCAACAAACTTCTCTATTTTCCTTTCCTCATCATTGGCGATCCCCGGTGCAAACCTCAAAAGCGATGTGAACTTGTTCTCATATTCTGTAACTTTCATATTCCCTTACTTCAACCCATCGAACTCTTTCTTTAGTTCTCTCTGCTTAGGTGCCAGAAAGTACTTCTCATAGTACAACTTCTTGAATGTAGCATAGGTCATTATGTCCAAATTGTGGGTATGGGAAACGGTGTTCCACCGACTCTCTGCATCCCCAACAAAGTTGTAAGTTGCCAAAGTGATCTTCAACTTATCCATCACCAAATTCATGGCATTAAGATACTTCTCCACCCTATCCATGAAACCATCCACAATAAGCGGATCTGGACCCCCCTCAAACAAAGTCGGCATCAACTTCATGATCCTGGTGATGTGGTAAAGAGTCTTATCCGACTCACTTTTCTTTGGAGGTGGTGCCGGTGGTGGAACAACCTGTGACGATGACGCCCCTGGCCGAAATGCATCGAAAAGAGCTGCCTGAACGGCTAACTTCAACTGCTCCTCATTTATCTAAAGAGGTGAATCAACGATCGCCCTCTTGGTGGGACCAAATCACTTAACAAGATATCTTCTTCAACTTGCTCCTGATCCCTTTCCATGGGATTGGAGCTAGAACTTTCCCCGAGATCCCTTCTTGGTGGCATGGCGCTATAAGAAAAAGGAAATGGATAAAAAATGATGACACTAAAATACGCATGAGAACAGAGTCCTCAGACGAATGACTTGACAAGAATGGAAACACATAAACACCTTCCATACTCTCAGAATACCCAACTAATGATAAACATGATCATGCTAATAATATACGACAACACTAAGCACTTAACACGTAATCATATAAGCAGTTAAACAATTAAGCATTCCTTTCAAATAATTAAACACCCCAACTCCCCATGCAATCCTAAGTAGGCCTTTACCCATCATCCTAATGGTATTCGAATCATTGCTCTGATACCAAATTTGTAACGACCCAAAATATACCAAAGTAATAGCAATAATAATAATAATAATAATAATAATAATAATAATATATAAAATTTTGATATGACCTCCATAGAAAAAGTCCCTCTACAACCTGTTGAAATATATAAAAATGAAATGGCCTCACTTGGCCTTAAGACTAATCTATCCTGTCCCAACGCACAGTATAAATATTATACCACATTTCCAAAATGATTACATACATATAAAAAGTCCAGTTCCTCCATTTAATCCAAACAAGGAATGCACTTTAATTACATCAAGTTACAGTCCATAAAATATAGCTAAAATTTAAAAGTCCATAACTTACAACATTATACCAATTAAACTAAAATTTCACAAAATAGTTAAGATTACATTTACAAAATAAAATAGATCGCCAATCTTGTCTAAATTTGTGGTGGATCGTCGTCCGCCACCTCTTTTCCCAAACCTAAAAAATGTTATGATAATGGGGTGAGCATAAGCTTAGTAGGAAGTGTCTAAGACACACTTCTTATGACCCCATGAATCTACACAAAGAATAGGAAAAAGTAGACGGGATCATGCCAATTCCGAGAGAAATACAATCATAATATTAATAGCAATAATCCAAGTCACAAATAAAACATGTCATGCTATAGCTGCAATGTCATGTAATGTCTCTTCCCAATTTCCAAAATAATTTTGTTTCATCGTTCCAAACTATTAATGCAACCCAACCCATAGCACCTCTATGGCGTCATGAGAAAAGGGTTGGCTAGCAATCCCCGACCACATGGCACCTCCATGGCGTCGTTTAGGCCTAGGTAGCTATACCACACTAGAGTCTTTCTCCAGTTCCGTTTAGATCACATTAACACCACGGACCACTAGGTGCCTCCTAGGCGTTTGGGTTTTCACAAAATCATTTATCAAAGCATTTCCCCAAAAAAACTCATTATTTTTCCTTTCTTTCCAAATCATCTGTCCTATTTTCTTTCCCAATGCCATGCGTGAATGTCCATATGTTACAATGCCATGAAATGAGGAAAAAATCGTGCCTTTCGATGCCATGTCAAATATACATTCTCATGTATCATATTCAAACCTTAATCACATAGCATGCTTAACCAAAACAAATAAAAATAAATAATAAATAAATTCTAATAAAAATCATATCATGCTTTCTAATAACAAGTATTCGGCACATTAGGCATATAAGACATGGAGTAAATTACTTAAACATGCTTTTTCACATCATATCAACAAAATCCAACACATACATATCACTTACAACATTGAAAATTTATATTTCATAAAATTGCCACAAATTAAACATGCTATTCAACAAGAATTGAGATGTAATTCACAAAAATCAAAGAATTTATAGCTTAGAAATCCCCTACCTCAAATGACAGAAAAAGCCCCATTTTGAGCCCTAGATTCGGAATCCCTAGGCTTGGCCAAACGGTGCTTGGCTCTTATCAAATTGATGGCCTCGACGACCTTTCCGACTTTACTTCACAAGGTTCTACCAAATTCACAAAGATGAGAGTGAGATCAAAGCTTGAAGCTTTGTAGAAAAGAAAAAGAAAAAAAGAAAAGCAGAGGAAAAGTGAGTCTGCCGAGAGAGAGAGAATTGAGGCATGAAATGGCCTCTTGGCCATTAAAGGTTGGAATGGTGGGTCCCACCACAATTGAAATATCTAACCTCTTTTAATTTTTTTTTTCTCCACAATATATATTTATTTATATATCAAAATCAAAAACATTACAAGTAAACTGATACATACTATAATGGTGGCTGCCTTATGGAACATTTGGTAAGAGAGAAATAGAAGGCTATATGGCCATCTATCTAGGACTCATCAAGATATTGCTAGACAAATATTATTTGAAGTCTTAGATCTTTACAGCATTTCATTATCTAATCTTACTTTATTTTAGATCATTGTTTGATCATTTTTCTTTGGTTTTTTCTTTAATGATCTTTTTTGATCATTTTGTTATTTTCTGAGGATATGCCCTTTGTGTGCTTGTAAATATATTTTTCCTTTTTTATACAACAACAATTATGAAAAAAAAAAAGAAATCATTGGTAAGAATCATATAAGAATTCTATAGTTACACTATAAGAAATTACTAGAATTTAATTTTCTCCCAAATGAAATAACATCTTTACAAGAGGTATATCATATACATGCCTTGAACAATATAAAATCCTAGGTCACATACAACCTTCATCTATACGCAATCCTATAATTCATATAACATGCATACAATATATATTATTAACTTCAAATACACAATGAAACACTAAGGATATAAACATAAAACACTCCCTACCTCACTAGAGAATAGAATCTCTAGAATCCAAGGAAGTGAGAGCAAAATGGAATCCAAGAACAAGGTGTTGTAGAGGAAGGTGAAGGGAAGCTTTTGTCTTCCAAAAGCTAGGCCAAAAGGTTAGTGGGAGATTGTTGAAAACAAGGTATAAAGCTAGGGTTTAATGGCATCAATGGAGGTTTAGGTGAGAGAAAATGAAGAAGACAATGAAATCTCTAGTTTCTCCACTAAGTGTGATGTAAAACACTTAAACTATACTAACACTACCTCTCTCACACACACACAAATCACACCCCTCCACTTGTCACAATCCAATTCACCCTTACAAGATTAAACATCCATCCTACACTTTCATAATCCAAGCCTTCCAAGTGTTTCCAACCAAAAGTCAACAAATGGTTCAAGGAAAAGTTGACACTTGTCACACTTTTCAAAAATTGCAAAAAGGTCCCTCTTCTAAATATCTCACAAAAATAATTGCAAAAAGGTCCCTAAACCAAAAATATCTCAAAAAAATAATCTCACAAAGATCCCCCAAAAAGAAAATGTCTCCTGAAGAAACAATGCAATCATATCCCCAAGAAATGAAAATAAACTAACATGCTTTGCCACACAATTAAACTATGCATTAACAATAAAATAAATTAAAGTGAATGCATGCAATGTCGGAAACCCATTCCAGACACCAAACCCTACCTCGGGTCCTACAAAACTTAAGGCAACAAGAAAAGAAATAAATTATTAAATAAGATAATAAAAAATGCCAGAAGAATGAAAAGATAACACAGTCATCACAACGTAGCCTCCTTAAAAAGATTTCATCCTCGAAATCAGGACACCTCCCAAGGAGAAACAAGACAAGACGAAACATAAGATCACACCCTGAAACACCTTAACAAGTCTCAAAGGACATCTCCAAAAATCCTAAGATCAACCGAAAGAACACGAAACCACTAAATCGTGAAACACATCACTAACTGAATCAACGTACGAATCCAAAGACAATTAACAGAAGAAATCCAAAATAACAACAAATTGA